CTTGTCATACGGCTAACAAACTAGCTAGATCACTGTCACCTACGCATAAGTACACTTATAATCTACAGAAGTGACGAGCACAATAACTGCCCGCATGGCGCATAGGCGCGGCGTAGGCGGGCGTGACCTGAGGTCGCACGTTCGATGCCCGGTAGTGATGCGACCATTACTGTTCTGGTCACGTATAAATACTTTATACGTCTTTGTGCCTAACTTGGTGGCTTTGATATAAATGTCATTGTGTAAGTGCAACAATGCATTCACAAACGATGCTTGCTTAAGTGAAGCAGCAAGTCGAACGCACAACGTTGAATTAGAGCTCTGAGATTGGTTCGTGTGTAACCCTGTGTGTCCACGCGCACTGTGAGACCTCATAGTAACGTTTGTGAATACGGGCGTAAGTCTAGTCTAACTTTGGGAACCGATGGTGACATTTTACTTTGGTATTTGGCATTGCTTACAGAGGTCAAACTGCGATCTCCAACCCGCCTGCCAAGCGTGGAGATTATGGCAAAACCCTCCAGTAAAGTGGAGGAGGCTCATAGTCCAGCAGTGGACTATAAAGGGCTGTTGATGATGATGATGACTTACAGAGGTTCAATGCAGTAGACACATAATACCTATCGGTATTGGAACATACTTACTTATCCTTAAAAGGATAGCAAACGATTTCGCAGTATAATTATCATTAGTCCGATAGAAATAATTTGGTTGACAAACCTGACCAGTCTCAAATATTTTTTTTACCCACATCGGAGAGTCTCTTGGCCTTTCACATGGTGGAAAATGATGATCAGGCCAAAGGTGGAAGCGAGCTTTACCTGGAATCCTTACCATTGAGGATCTGGCTATCTTTTATTGGTTATTTTACTTCTTTCATTACTTTTCGTACTTGTTTCATATAATTTCATGTCAACATGAAGTTACTTGCACAGATTTTTGACGAGTAACTATCTAAAAATATTTTTCGAAACTTTATTTTTATTTTTGCAAGTAGGCATTTAAAAAGCACTTTCACACGTCTCAGTATTAACCCCACCATTGCTTCGGGACAATAAATGGGCCAGTGCTGAGAAAAAGCAGTGTAAGAAACTCAAAATTTGAGGTGACAAAATTTAATGTTACCTTTTAGGGTTTCTTTTAGGGCACGGAACCCTTAAACAGAAGGGTCATGTGTACTGTACAACACAAAAATCTTACCCAAATCTTGAATTTTCCGGCGTATTTTCTACAAAATTAAGACAAATGGCTGTGGAAATTCACCCTGAAAATGGAAATGAGGAAAATGGGACTGAGGTTGTACGTCGAATACATTACAGTTTGTTTACAAAATATGCAGTGCTGTTTTTGACATGCTTTAGTAATTTAGTAATAATTCTTTGTCATATAAACAGATTTATATACCTAAGTATTATGTTGATCGTAAATCTAAAATCTTTTGAATTGAAATGATGTAATTTATTCGTTTAAAACATGTTCGTTACTTGTCTAAGGTCGGTTACAAACACTTTAAAAGACAGTGTAACTACTAGTGTTTTAATTATAAGTTCGTCAAGAACAAGTATTTAAAGTTTTACCTTTTTTCATAAGATTCATAATAATTCAGTGTAGAGATTATCTGGAAAAAAGTTATTTACACCAAACTTCAAGTTCATTCTCACCTATGTTCTTTCTCAGTTATTTTAACACAATGTAATTTGATATATTGTTTAATCTTTCATTCCGTAAGACATTATACTAATGGAATTTGATTTTTACTATTTTTCTCTCAACCAGAACCCAGGACCCCTAATTCATCAATTACTAGTCGACTACAACATAGGTAGCACTAACCACAAAGTAGCAGTGACGAATCCAAATGACAGAGCACATCACTAATCGTTAATTTGGTCACTTCCACGTGCCCCCTGACCGCAGATCTGAGTATCATCCTGTGATAATTAGTAACTGTGATTAATTGTCATAATCATGAGGCTTGTTTGACCAGTCATTTGGAAACTTACTACATATAGAATTAATAATGTATTGCTAATTGGGTGCAGATTAATTTGTGTGAAAGCTTGAGGGATTATTGATTTTGATATTCCATCTACCTATTGCTGATGTGTATTTATTTGAATGTCAAGCCACATAAGTACAAAATATTATTTTGACTAAGGGCGTCGTTCCCACGGCTCCAGTTTTGTGGGATGCAGTATGCAGTATAGGACCGAGTGTACCGTAAAACTATAATAATAAACAGGATCCTGCAAAAAACTGGATGGGTCCGTGGAAACAAACCCTAAGGTGTAGAGTTTATGAAGCTAGGATTTACTTATAGAGTTAGGGTATATAAAGTATAAGCTTGGCTCTGCATGAGATCTGACTTTTTAATAATGCGAGCTATTATGGTCTCGTTTTGGTAACTTTTTACATTCAAATGTTTTACTGGGATTTGTTGATGGTAACACTTTATAAATCTCTACATAATTAACGCCTGTATTCACAAACGATGCTTGCTTATGAAGCAGCACATACAATATAGCAAAAATACATAAAAATATAGCAAAACACATACACGATTAGTTCATGTGTCACCCTGTGCGTCCATGCGCACTGTGAGACTTCATAGTAATGTTTGTGAACATCATTAGACAATGACAGTGTTACATTTGTAAAACCCAGACCCATAAAACGATATCTCTCCAAAAGTGCTCACTGTCTGCAATAGTATCGCTATAGTCTTTCTATAAACAGTTAAACATAGTTGGAAACGCAGGCAAAGTGTATCCAATGTCTGGATCCAGACAGCCATAGCTATTATGGATCCAGACAGCCATAGTGTGTATGTATTAGCAATAGAGCGATGGATGTAGGTCGGGGGGACGCGTCTGTTTCCCGTCTCGGCTTCCCACTGTGGGTAAGGCGACGTTCATAAAATTCGAAATACTATTAAAGCCCGATAGATCGATACAAATACACTGGATACTCAACTTGCACATTATATTGCCTAATTTTAAATGCAATTCATCACTTTTCTGTTCGGTTTGGTTGGTGCGGTAGGGCTTGTTCTGAGTCCGCCTGGCTAGCTACCACCATCTTACCTAAGTCTGTCGCCATAACAACAATGTTAACAGCATTATTGTGTTCCGGCAGTTAGAGGTAAGATAGCCAGTTCCTCCGTGGTTGAGGATTCCGGGTGAAGCTCGCTTCCACCTTCGGCCTGATCATCACTTAACATCAGGTGAGGTACAGGCCAAGAGCTTCCTCGTTGTGGATAAAAATAAACTTATAGCGTCCCTCTATTCTGACCTTTCTAGGTGACATTGACATTACTTACGAGTGATTTTGAAACTTAGAAGTTTTCGCTGATTTTGGTGGGACTTGAACCCTCGGCAGTCTGAACACTGAGCTTCGAAAACTATTGTAAGAGTCAAAAGTGTATTTTAGGCTAAGAGCTTTTCATACTTTAATTTTATTTCCTGTAAAACCATCAATCCCCAAGCGGTTGCATATGACCCCGTGACAATAAATTGATTATTTAGTAATAGATAGATAGATCTCGATAAATTGATTATCTAGTAATAGATAGAGAGAAACCCCGCGCGCCCCGCGCCGAGCGGTTGTATTTCGTCAGAGCTCCGTGTTAAAAAATTAAAACAAACGTCTAATGTCGTATTTGTGAATTAATTTTTGNAGGTACCAAGAATTACTGGTATCATCATTATTCTTTAAATAAGTCAAATTAAATTATCTATGGCCGACCCAAAAAGATTCAGTTTAGTGAAAATATACTTGTCTATTCTAAAGTAGGATTTTTTTTTATTAATCAATTTTATCCTTCATGTATTTTTGACACAGTATACATCTTTATTTAAATTTCATAGTAGGTATATCATTCTGTTTCATTAACTTTAGCACGATCAGATGGTGTGCCTACTTCACACAAATTAACCATTCGTCATTTTTTTAACATCTTTCGAGTTTACAACAGCCGGTGCAACTCGAGCAAAGTCAAGCAAAAAGTGGTAATAATTATTTTATTATTGCCTAACCACGTATCGTGTCAAAGCATATTATTGAGTTACAATCTAAATCTTACGAACCATCTAAATGTACGTAAAATTACGATCAATAAATAATGAGTTACCACCACATAGTACCTATTTTCAGGAATTACACGAAAATCACAAAACAACGTATCAAATCAACAATCGATCACATAAGTATCAAAACAGACTTGAGACTACACGTTACCACATGCAAGTGACCACATNAAACAAATTCAGGCATTTGCAGTATACACAGTAAATTAATAAACAATTCAGTATACAACGTTGTTTATTGACTAAAGCTTTAATATGTAGAGTATAATTAAAACAAAATTGAGACCTAGTACTCAATATTAGAAACATAGATTGTTTCACAGATATACAATAAAACAAGTAATTTATTTTACTGCCATGAAATAAATATCTCATTGTAATACTATACATATAACGATATTATTTTAACCCTCGCTAAGGTCTCGCCGCGGGAGATTTTTGCACTCCCGATGAAACGTGTGCATTTTTCGATGGTTTCTGTGGGGAGACGCTTCCTACTGATATATTAAGATTTTATCTAAGGTATATTTAAATTTTGAATCACGTGCTTAATCTATTTGCTTATATTTTTTATTTAAAATTTTTCATGAATATAAAAATAACCATAATTTATGGCCTACAAAGTTCAGTCTCATAATGAACAGTGTAGGTATAATAAAGGCATTAACCTTTATCGTCCCGGGATTGTTACATTAGCTTTATGATATACGATTAAACATTAAACAATCAGTCTCATAGGTAGAGCTTTAGACATCCAAAAACTATAGGTACGATAACTAGTGATTTGCGTGACTACTAACCTAACTTCAAATTAGCTAACTTGAATACCCCGCGCGCCCCGCGCCGAGCGGTTGTATTTCGTTAGAGCTCCGTGTTAAAAAATTAAAACAAACGTCTAATGTCGTATTTGTGAATTAATTTTTNGGATTTGGATTGATTTGGATACAAATAAATTTTCATTTCGTTGTGTAAAATTATATTTTGCTGATATATTTTTTTTAAAATGAAAGCAACGTTAATATTTGATAGTGTAAATGATTTGTTGTTTTCAAAATGGGATGATACTTTCATACAACGCATGAAATGTTTCAATGAACAGGTTTTTAGTTTGGTTTATTATTAATTTGGTATTACATATTCATAAAATTTTGATTGATCATGACTGGTTTGTTCTTATAGGAAACTGAAGGCATATCGGACAGTTACAATGTGTCCCAATTACTGTCTCCTATCATTACATCTCAACGCGTCATGGCTGCACAATTTGGGAATACTTATTCTTCAATGCAGTGCAAAGACAACACTACTATTGTTTTCGATGAGGTGGGTTATTGTAGTAATATCATTGATCTTCACACACTATGTCTTGAAGCTCTTTAAAGATATAACAATAATTATTTAATGTTATTTATCTATATTTTCCCAGTGGCTAGACCAATATCAGAACAATGTCTTGAAGCTCTTTAAAGATATATCCGTAATTATTTAATGTCATTTATTTATATTTTTCCCAGTGGCTAGACCATGTCTTCATGATCATCAGCGAGGATGATGTAGATGATGCTCATAGGGAGCTCCTGGACTGTAAAACTTATGTGCAACATATTTGTGGACAAAACATTAACCTGTAAGTGTTCTATTATAAAGGATTTTTTAATTTTTAATCCCTAATGTTACTGTGTTTAGTTTCATTTATTTTTAATTTCAGCTTACAGTCCTGTGTGTATCAAGACTGGCTATCAGTCTTATTAGATTGTAGAACCAAGGGTGATTCTATTCCTGGAGCCAGTGGAATGATTGGTGAGAGTGGTGCTACAGGAGCGGCTCTTAATGCTCTAAAAGCTGCAGCCAAAGACATCAAGTGCTCACCACACCACCACTACCATCTGATGCTGTATGTAGGGGACAAGATATTAGCTCTCTACTCTAGGTGGGTAAACATTAAATAAGAATAACCTTTATAGTTATTTTAGTATTATCCAATAGATCCACTTGGTCCTATACTGTAGTTTTGATTGCCTGTTGACACTACAGCTTACTTTAACCTTTTCTACTCCACCATGTCCTCCCTCATTACACTAATCCAAGCTATAGTCTGGTCTGCGAGCATGTAGAATTTTGTTCAATGAACCCAAGCTACCCATCCTTATCGCTCTCGCGTAATTATATTGCTGTCGCGACTGTGCGATGGGCGCCCGCAGTGAGTGTGCGAGCGCGACAGCAACATAATTACGCAAGAGCGATAAGGATGGGTAGCTTGGGGTCATTGGACAAAATTCTACGTGCTCACAGACCGGGCTTTACTTGGGATCCAAAAACTTGGAAAACCAATTGTCTTAATAGTGGTGGTGAGAAATATCTGAATTGTTTGAAAATATATTCCAGCCGTGGCAGTGAGGACTTGTCTGCTCCTGATTTGATTCTGATGAGTAACCAGTGTGTGGCTGCCCAGGAGTATTGGACTAATGTTGATGTTGGGGAAAATGGGTCTCACAATTCCATTCATTTGCCTTGTAAGTAATTGAGTGTACAGGATAGTTGAGAATAAAGTGCACAAACTTTTGATTATATTCTTTTTAAATTTCAACAAGTTTCTGAAAAATATGGGTAAAAGTTGTATTTGAATAGTAGAACAAACCCTGCTTTTTATTCAAATATTGTAAAATGTAGTAGTACCATAGACTTAGAAAAATGTGCTGTAGCAATGATTTATTATATTATTCCCAGAAGTGCTTATGTACCTACTCTTAGAGCGCTTTCGCATTTAGGCGATTTAGCAGCGACAACGCGCTGCCGAAAATTTCATGATATGTCACAGTGCTGCAGCGGATACATGCCTTCACATTATAAAAACGCCGCTGCTGCGCTGCTGTCGCGCTTTTAGCGCCATTATGTGAAAGCGCGCTTAGCATTTAAATATGACTTTATTTGACAGGGCTGTCTGAGGAGAACAGTGCCATTGTGAATCTGTGCGCAGGTGCCACATGCAGCCCATGCGCGCCATACTCAATGCACATTGCAGAAGTGGCACCTAGGATAACTTTTGTAGCTCTCATTGACATGGATTTAAGGTAAAATAAAATGGATACTGCTATAATTTGTGTTTTTAGTCTCCTTTAACATAAAAGAGTATATTAAAATTTACCTTAATTTGATGTAACACTGTGTAATGTCCCTTTTATTTTGCAGGGAAGTGGGCATTGCTGTACATATGTCAAGTCAAATTTTGTCTAATTTAAGAAGACTTTTATTACAAAGAAACTTGGAATTACTTCCAACAACCCTTGACTCTTTGGAAGCTGCATTAAAAAAGGTATAGGGAGATTTCTGAAGAAGTTGCATGGTGCTTAAAATGGGATGATACTTTCATGCAACACAAGATTTGTCTTAATTTAAAACTGAGACATTGGCTGAGTTGCACCATGTTACTTTAACTTTGAGAAACCTCAAATATCTGTCATACAAAAAACACCGGTTATTAAAGTTATCGTCAAAGTATGTTGGTGCAACTCAGCCATAGTCTATCTAATACCATTTGTTTGCCGCAGACAACAGACGCATTACGTAAAAACAAAGCACACTCGAACCTCTGCGCTCGCGTGACGTCACGCATGCTGGAGCTACGCAAGTCTTGCACCACGACCACGCCGCTGACTCCCGAGACTGCTGCCACAGCCATGCACACCGCCCTGGAGGCCGTCATCGAACTCCTCAAGCCAGACATCCCCAGCCTCAAACTGGACCAAGCGCTTAAGAACTTAAGAACCATTTTAGCGCCATACGTCGAGTTTCTAAGAGTGAAAGCGATGAGATACTTCAGCCTTGGATCATATCCTTTTCAAAAGATCTACTTTTATTTCTGTTGTGAGCATGTTGTTTGTTGTTTAATAATATTTATAGTAGGTGTTATCCCTGCTACATAAAGCAAGTGATTGCATTAGTGTTTGCTTTGCGCATGATTGTAGTGATATGAAAAAAAAGTTATTCTATCTTAAAGTTCTAAATGAAAATGACATACACAGAATCAAATTCTTTTAATAGTTCTTTGTGCTGTGATGATGCTAATTACAGGCTATTTAATGTTGTTGTAACTGGATTTGATTTTATTAGCTTTTATCCAATTAGCTTATCATTATCATGCATGACATTCATTTAAATTGTTTCGTGAGATGCACAATTTTTATAGTAGAAGTTTTATTATCTGAATTTAGTTTGCAACATATCTGTGAGTCATTCTTTTAAATACTTTACACACTGATATGATTGCAGAGTAAACAATAAACATTTTTTTTTATAAATCATGTGTATTACAGTTAAATCTCATCTTGCAACAACCATGTTACAAATATAATTTATTTTAATTCACGAGACAATTGTCCGTCCATCATGCAATGTTTATCCGATTATTTCGCTTAATGTGGGTGGTTTGCTCGGCACGGGCGAGGCGGACAGTGGTTCCCTAACGCTGCACAAGTATGTGGAGGAGTTCCCTGGACTGGTCCACTTCGTGTACGTGGACCGAGCCACGGGCCGTTTCCTGGCGCCCGACATGGCCGACTGTGTTGACATGCTCTCAGCGGACACCGTGAGTGCTTTTGTTATTACCTAAGGTACCTGAGATTAGATATAAACGAGATGTACTGGAAATTAACACGGTATTATTTTGATGTTTGTAACATTCTTTTTATTAGTTAAAAACTGGCGCAGTCTGGTAAAAAGTAAAATTCGAATCACGAGTACGACAAATTTTTTGTTGTTTTTTTTTCAAGATCAATTCATTGGACTGACAACTTTTTATTTATTTTTGGTTTTTTATTTTTATTTTATAAATAAAAATTAATCATGGAGCGAAAAAGTCAAAGGGACCGCAAGACAACCGTTATTTGTAATAAGTGCAAGTGCAAAAAAGCGAAGAATGAAACCATACTATGTTCGCAATGTAACAAGATATACGACTTTGATTGCATTGGGCTATCCGAAAAGCTATATAGACTCATGCTGGCAGAAAAGAGAGAAAAAATAAAGTGCAGAACATGTTCACAAGCGCCAAAATCAATAAAGTCAACAGCTACTACGAGCAATTCTAAAGAAGTGTCAAATTTAACGCTAAGAAAACCACTATCAACAACATTAAACGAGTCTACAGTGTCTACAAATACATCTCAATCAAGCTTACAGGACACTCTTATCTGTGATTCTTTAAACCCAAATGACGAAGTGCCTTCTGACGAATTTCCTATGGAACGTCTCTCAAAAAGTGTAGACTACACCTCAATTGACTTATCCGATATAGAAGATCTTAAGGAACAAATCACAGATCTTACAACAAGCCTCTTGACGACACAAAATGAGCTAGAAAACGCTATAATTGAAAACAGCGATTTGAAGGGACAAATAAATAAACTGAATAAGGAGATTAAATTACTAATGAGCGTCTGTCAGGCCTCAACACCAAAAATAACAGACCTACCCTCAATAGCCACCCCTACCAGAAAAAGTAAAGCAAGGCGATCAACACTATGCTTTTCTCCCAGAAATAAGGACAATTCTGCCATCACATCGGAAATAATCTCCGCCCTACAAACCAAAGTAGGTAAATTACAAGATCAGTTGTTAATGGCTAAGGAGGAAATAACAAATTTGCATATGCAAATTGAAGAACTGAATACCAAACTGTTTGTCAACGAAACTCCCGCCAAGCATGAAAATGTTCCACATCGTTGCGACGACATTGACACCAGGAGAGGCGCCAACCAGCAGCAAAAACTCTATATTGTAGGGACTCAGCAATGTACTGGACTGGCAACAGCTTTAGATAAATCTAGGGATAAATATAGATGTGAAAAGTACCAAATATCATCAATAACAAAACGCAATGCACCTACAGTAGAAGTTTTAAGAACCTGCCAGAACTTAGATGTTAGCGACAAAGATAAACTAATACTATGTGTAGGAGAAAACGATTGCGATCCAAAGGTAATAATATTTGAATTGTATACATTATTAAAATCAATGAAACACCATAATGTTATTGTCATGAATGTAATGAATTGCAAACATATGAATTGTACGATGTTGAATAGAGAACTAGCAATGTTATGCAGTAGGTTTCCAAATTGTTATTTCCTAAAAAACAAGCAGTACTATAAAAACGTTGCATACGACACGTGTTATAGCCTAAACTTACTGATTGACTCTATAGATTATGACCAAAAATTCTTAAATTATGACTTCATAAGGAAACAAATACATAGGAATCTTAATAAATTGACTGAACAAACTTCCAAAATAGACCTCCACATAAGTCCTGAAAAACTACAAGAAAAACTTAATGATGATTTTTTTCGTGAAAAACAATAATAATGCAGTACATTTAGAACTAACAAACTCTGAACCTTTCATTGTGTTGCATCAGAACATAGCAGGTATTATCTCAAAAAAGGATGAATTACAAATAATCATTTCTGAACTAGAAGGCAAACAAAGTAAACCAGATGCACTATGTTTCTCAGAGACATTTATAAAAAAGGGACAGGAAAAGAACTTCATTCTAAAAAATTATGAACTAGTTGCCCATTATTGTAGAGAAACAAAGCGTGGTGGTACATGTATAATGTTGAGGCGGGGACTCCTCTATAAAGAGCTTACCTGCTTCAATAAATATGTACTGCCAAACATATTTGAATGCTGTGGTGTAGAAGTTTTAGCACACAAATTGATTATAGTCTGCATATATACTTCACACAATAAATATGCAAACACTTTCCTCACTAAACTTGAAGCAGTAATATACGAGCTGCTAAAGAAAAAACATAAAAATAAAAAAATAATAATTACTGGTGACTTTAATATAAATACTCTTGTATGCTCAAAAGCATCCCGCCATCTGACAGATATTGCAAAACAATTCGATTTAACTCTTCACATAAATCAACCAACAAGAAAAGGAAATTGTATTGATCATATAATAAGTAATATTAAAAACGGGGTGGGAGAAGTACTTTCATTGCAACTATCTGATCACGATACGGCGCAAATGTTAACTATACCTGTACAAAAATTGCCACTAGTTCAACAATGGTTTGTTTTTAAAAGGGACTTTAGTATCGAAAATCAAATAAAATTTCGTAACTATTTAAGATCACTTTCATTTCTTAATGTATACCAAGAGGAGGATACAAATAAAGCATTCGATAATTTTCACGAAATTTTGTGCTTACTTTATAATTTATGCTTTCCGAAAGTAAGACTGAAGCAAAGCAACAGACCTCTTAAGCAAAAGTGGATAACTAAAGGCCTCAGGATATCTACCAAGAGGAAACGATTGCTACGCTTTGCATCTTATAATAGAAATGCTGACAAAACTGACAAGCAATTGTACTTAAGATATTCCAAAATACTAAAAAAATGCATATACAAGGCACAGAAAAACTTGAATGACAAAATTTTAATTGGTAGCCAAAACAAATGTAAAGCCTCATGGAAAATTATAAAAAGTGAAACAGAAACCCACCCAATAAGACATGGTATACCTAAAATAAATAATAACGGCATTACAATAACAAGTACACCAAAAATAGCTGAACTATTCAATGACTACTATATAGGCTTATGTAACAACAAATATAACTATGACAAGGAAATTAGAAAAAAAATACAACTTGACATTAATCCAATCACCAATTCGATGTTTTTAGAACCCTTAAGTAANTTTGCTGACGACCTTTCTATAATTATTAAATGTAATCCTGACATGTTGAATTTGTATGAATATGAAATTAATAAAACTATCAATAATGTAATTAATTGGCTAAATATGAATAATTTAAATGTTAATCTTTCTAAGACAAAATACATACAATTTGGTGTAAAAGGACGTAAGGAAATCAAAATGAATATAAATTATAGTAACGAAATTCTAGATAGCGTTAACAGTGCGCCATTTTTAGGAATATCGCTAAACAAAACTTTAAACTTTACATGCCACGTGGATAATTTATGTAAAAGAATAAACAGATTTGTTTACGTCCTTCGAAGACTAACAGGAATCACTTCACTGAGTGTATCATTAAGTGCTTATTACGGCTATGTAGCCTCCATTATAAATTACGGGCTTATAATCTGGGGTAACAGCACGGATATACAGAGGGTATTTATAGCTCAGAAAAAATGTGTGCGAGCTTTATGCTGTAAAGGGCCATATGAACCGTGTAAGCCATTATTCATCAAACTGGGCATACTTACTGTACCTGGAATGTATATATTAGAAATCTTTAAGTTTGTAAGACAACATCCAGAACTGTTCCAAACCGCGGCTGAAGTGTACCCCAGAAACACAAGGTCTTCAGATAGGCTAGCTCTTTCCTTTTGCCCAAGAACTTCACTTATTAAGAAAAATTGTTACTGCATGTGTGTTGAGGTGTATAACAAAATTCCTGATGTATATAAAAATGGCCCTACAAAATTGATGGTGAAAAAGCTTCGGGAATGGCTGACTACTGTTTGTTTCTACAGTGTTCGGGAATTCCTTACCCGTAAATTTGCATGTTAAAATATTTTAACAGAATAGAGTCCTTAATACATGTAACATCAACAATAACCTGTACTTACCTATTCTTGCAAATAAATATCTTTATCTTTATCTTTAAAGGATTCAATCAGCGTGCTTACTTACCTCAATTTTACTTATCGAGATGAAATCGTTTGGGCTGAAATATCTACTCATAAATAAATGTGAATATATCCTTGTTGGAGTTCTGTTCAGAGGAAGCGACAATATTTTTATAAAGTCCGGTCGCCAAGCACGTAGAATTTCGTCCAATGACCCCGAGGTACCCATCCTTATCGCTCGCGCATAATTATATTGCTGTGCGACGGGCGGCCGCAGTGTGTGCGAGCGGGTAGCTAGCTAGTCATTGGACGAAATTCTACGTACTCAGCGACCGTACTTTAGATATTTTTCATAATATGGGATTTTGATTGAGTATTTATCTATGAACGAACACAAATCTTATAATCAAAAATTCCCAGGTGCGCGCAATAATCGCGCGCAGCTTCGCCGTGATCCGGGAAGGCTACACGGCGGCGACATGGCGGCGCTAACAGACTTTTAATACGTCTTATCGACATGAAATCGTTTCGAGCCAAAAGATTCTTAAAAGCGAATATAATGTCATTTGCCTTGTTGGGGGTCGGAGGAAGGGACTATTTTTGATGGAATCTGATATCATTCAAAATTCCTAGGTGCGCGCAATAATAGCGCGCAGCTTCGCCGTGATCCGGGAAGGCTACACGGCGGCGACGTGGCGGCGCGGCGCATTGCACGCGTGCTGCGTGACCTGGTGGGAGCGGCGCGGCGCGGCCGTGCGCCCCGCGCGGGCCCCGCACCCCGCCGCCGTGCGCGCGCTGCCGCCGCCGGGGGACATCCGCGGCGCCTTCTACAGGTGACCACTAGTGACCATTACCACTGTAGGGACATCCGCGTCGCCTTCTACAGGTGACCGCTACCACTGTAGGCACATCCGCGGCGCCTTCCACAGGTGACCACTAGTTACCACTTACGAATCTTGTTAAAATCACAATTTTAGACGTATATCGTGACAGTTGTATTAACTTGTGTTACGTTATACGTCAGCCCCGCACTTTTCCCTTACCTCAGGATACGCTTTCACTTTATTTGTAAACTAGCTGTGCCCGCGACTTCGTACGCGTGAAAACCCGTTTTCGCAACATTTTTCATTTTTGCTCTGCACCTATTACTCGTAGCGTGATGGCATATAGCCTATAGCCTTCCTCGATAAATGGGCTATCTAACACTGAAAGAATTTTTCAAATCAGACCGGTACTTCCTGAGATTAGCGCGTTCAAGTAAACAAACAAACAAACTCTTCAGCTTTATAATATTAGTATAGATATTGAAAATACTACTAGGACCGAATTTAAAGCCGAACGTCCACCGCCGACTAAACTAAATAAAAACTAAACTCAGTGAACTAAGCTAAGCTAAACTAGAACTACGTTTTCCGTCCACCAATAAATAAGCTAAAACTACGTTAGTGATGGTCAGTTTGTGCTAGAACGTCGAGTTAACCGAGCTTAGTTAGTTCCACTTAGCTGGGGCATTTCACGTAGTTTAGCTGGCATAGTTTGCGATGGACGCACATGTATGAAAAACTGGCTCAACTATGCGGGCTAAGCTAAACTAACTTAGTTTAGCCGGCGATGGACGTTCGGCTTAAGTGAGGGCAACCCCGGGGCTACTGCCCAATAGAGACTTCGAAAAAAGACCAGATAATCTTGTTTCCGGTTATTTATTGGAAAACTCGACTAAAAGAAATCCATTTTATTTGGAAAATAACTTGAGGCCAGGGGGCCTCCACTCCTTTGTTGCCCCGAGGCCTCTTGACCTCTAAATCCGGCACTGCTACTGTCATTGTTTTGAATTATAATACCAGTATTACAGCAAAAGGTCACCACGCCCCATCAACGTCTAATTTACTATGTAAAACGTTTTAGGTATTGATGCTAAAAACGTAATGTATCACCATCTTACAGGCAACTCACGGAACAAGCGTTTCCCACGGACAGCCAAGGAGTCAGCATGAAGGAGCTGATCTGCGTCCACTTAGGGCTGCTTCCCGCGTCGACGGCCGTGCAGCAGGCGAGACGACTCGCGCACTCCGTCCACGAGCTGGCGGGAGACAACCCTGCTGTCGCGGCTGATCTGCTCTAGATTGTAACTATAGTCGTTATATTTAAGATTATAGGGATCATAACTGAGAGAAAAAGCATACTATGCGTTGCGGCGGCGTTGCGTAAGCGTTGCGTAGCCACGATAGCCGAACGGTGAAGGGGTCGGACTGGCCGACTCGTGATCCGGGGAACGCGAGTTCGGTCCCCTCCGCCGCTTGACTATTGTGGTGAGCTCACTCGTGATACAAACATATTTAGCTTAGTACGAGGGGACTATTACTAATTTGTGCTTGAGTAATAACAAATTACTAATAATCTTTAAAAAAACTAACAGAAATATTTGTAGCGGGCCGCGCCACGCGATACGGCTAAATCTTTGCGGTGTAGCGCCGCAACGCATCGTGTGCTTTGGCTCTTGAGTTGGTACCTGCGGTAGTGGAAAGGATGATTATGTGACGTAGTAACAAAGATGTCACGGTATTGACGCACATCTGCCCCGTTTACGAACGACTTGTTGTGTCAGTTCCACAGATCTGTGGTCAGTTCAGACTGCTCCGACACACAAAAAACAAAAAAGGGGACTGATATCTCGATGACGTTTTGACATTACAACAGACACCGCTCTATTATGGCAGGAACCGATTCAGTTATCCGCTTTACATGTAGTATGATAGGAAGCTATATATTTCCATTCCACTGTATTTGTAGATTTTTCCATTTATTATTTCCAACGTATAAATATAACAGTAACAGCTTGATAGTATTATTAAAACTGCGATTGGTTGACGTGAATTTCGCCAACCGAATTATCAGTAGAGTAAGGAATAGATACAATGGCGGCGTAGCATGGGTTGGCACCCGGGGCGATCAACCCCTCATAAGTCCTAGGCACCCCCTGGTACCCCCAGGATTTTGGGGTTACCTACCGATTCGAAGTCGATTCGGGTCCAATGACAGTTTAACTTTCCCCCGGGACAAACTTGACCTTCATTGGTTGGGTTTTTGTGGCGGTCAAGCTGTAGATCCTGGCTACACAGGAGTTGCAGTGGTGGGAACGAGAGGTGGGAATAGTCCCGTACCGATTCGAAGATTGAAAGNGACCGCAGATTTGCTATGCAGATGTGCCAGTGAGTACTAATCTGCGCGACTTGTGTCACCCCCTGATGCTTGGCACCCGGGGCGGACCGCCCCCACCGCCCCCCCCTTACGCCGCTACTGAATAGATAGATAGATCTCAAAGCGAAGTCTAAAACTGGTTTCCGCGGTCATCTTTGCTATACCCAAATGACTTGGAACTTAAATGACAAGAATATGGACGCGGCAACCAGTTTTGTGAAACTTCGGTGGAACGAGAAACTATTGGCCCTTATCCCGTTCATCTACCTACAAGTAATATACCTATGCCCATTTTCACCATCAATCCCTAATTTTAAAGTGACATCTATGGTAACACATAACAAGAATTTTGTTTTCAAAGGGGTCACTTAAAAATTAGGGATTGATGGTGAAAACGGGCACTAGTCTATTATTGTAGAATAGATAGACCCAGCTGTGCCGATTTATTATTGCCAAATTAGTCACTAAGCATAATCCTTAGTAAAAGATGTGAAGATAAATAAAGGGATCTTTTAATTCCAAGATATAATGCCAGTTTTATGACAAACTTGTATGTAAGTGGTACATAATCTTTTTATGTATTATTTTAATGGACTAGCAATTTGTAGTCCATTTTTGAAGTCTTTTGCTAAATTATTAAGCCTATGTAATGTCCGAATGGTCGCTTCATTCAGGCATGTAAGTAAACCGAATTTATTTGTTATGCATTTAATTTATAGTTATGTTGTTGTGTTAAAATTATACTTTTGTTCAAAATATTTTATTGGTTTTTCATGAAAAATAATAAAACACCCTATAAAGTTTATAGTGGTTTTATTTAACCCAAAACGTAATTGTCTCTACATATTAAAAAAAACTTTTCTTTTAAGTATTATGAATGAAATAATGCTTATTTACTATTATAAAAATATTCTGTACAAGATATTTTATATTGATTTGATTACCCCATTAAAGAATTCTACAAGAAACTGATGACAAAAATATTTAATCCTGTATCAGTATACAATTCAGTAATATCCCTACAGTTATGGGGCATAGCTGAGTGAGTGAGTTCCTGGCAGAGCGGCCGTGGTTGTCAATGAGGAGTTCTGCCCCCCTAGACAAGTTGCACTTTTTGATCGAATCGAAAATCGAATCCGTCTTAACTCCATACAAAAATAGGCCTTACGACCACTTTCGACTGGTTTGCGATTAAAATGTGCATGCTGTCTAGTAGACCCACTGACATAATTATATGCCTTGACAGTTCTGTTAGATATCATGACGTCACTTCCTTACTGCTCCACTACTGCAGGAACCTACTCAGTTATGCGCCATTACTTTATTACCACTTTTTTTTAATTACAAAATGCAGGCAATCCTTGAGGTAAGCGCGGGTATTTTAATAGGGGGAGATAAGTTAGAGGTAGAGCATTTTTAGGGGCAGTATCTGAATTACCATCTCAAATATTGGGTAATTTTAATAGTTGAGCTTTTTATTATTTTGTCAACCCTTGTCTCAGTCAAAAGTTAAAAAGAATTGAACCCAAAACATACCTAGAATAAATCTATGAGAAACCAAATTTGTACGATCTTTCATTTAACTGGACAGTTCATAATAATAATTATGTTATGGGTGAAGAAAACAAATGAAATAATTACACAATATACAAAATTGTAAACACACCCAGTGGATTTAAAGTCGAGCCACATTTGTGCGCACACAAGTCCGTACCGTCAAGATACTATTTTTAAAATTTGTAGGGTGGCCGGCGGCGCAGTAAGCGTCGTTGTATAGTAAGTACCGTTCAGCCGATCAAATGCAGCCTGACCTTTACATGAGATTGGAAATTACATTCTGCTCAAAATAGGGTGCATTCACTTGAAGACGACTTTATTATGAAAGATTAAATAATTTTCTGTTTATATTATACTAAATTGTAGCACTGATTATAATAATATATCTGCAGTTCTTTTATGGTTGTAAATATGAAAAAAATATCCTTATTAAGTAACAATGTAAGAATGAGTATTGATAAAAAAATGGTAATACAATTATGTTTTAACTTAATATGGTAACTTAACAAACAATTAATCCACAATAATTTAAGGCACTTGTCAGTATTCAGGTGAACTGTCACCCAAACATTTTACCTTGACATCATCATTTATTACAAGGATAGGACTCTTCATATGTTTGTCTTCCACATCGAAAGTGATTAGATCTTCATCAAAGACATTTGCTTTCTGTAAAAAAAGAAACTTTATTGAGTCTTGTTACATTTTTTTTCCCCATTTTGGAAGTTACACTTTTTAGCTTAAGATCAATTAAAAAAAAATACTTACACTTGTTGATGGTATTTCGGATTTATTTTTTAATGCTGCAGCATAATTTAAAACTGGTTTAGTGGAAGTTGAAGGCAGAACAGGGCTAGGACTTCGGTCATTTGAGTCATCTTCAGCCAACAGAACTGAATTTTCACAGTCCGATTGGTGATTGCTATTCATAAGAATATTTGGGACATTTAAAATATCTACATCAGGTGCAGTTTCTAAAGCTTTTACACAAGCTTCTGCCATTTCAACTTCTCTTGTCACAAATTTCTCTTCAACCAACTTGATATATTCAGCTTGAAGATCTATAGATTGTTTTTCAGACAAAATAGCACTCATTTGTCTTATTTCAGCTTCCAGCTCTCTAATTGTACTTTCATTTTTTGCAGCTAACTTAGCTTCTTTCATTAGTCTCACATCAACAGCTTCTTGAATACGGAAAATAGCATCACTAGTGTTCTTACTTTGAACGTTACTTTCATTAATGATTTTATTGAAGACACTATTTGCTGAAATTCGATTAGCTTTCTTATAACCAGTGAGCTTTTCTCCCAGGTTAGCTGTCACATCTTCAATATACTCATACATGTCAAAGCAATTTATTTTGCCAAATCGGTATGTAAATGTATGTGTTGATCCCGTTGATGACATTTTGTTGGACAAATTGCATGTAACAAAATTTTTTTTTCCATGGTACTTTTCAAAGTATTTTTGCAAACCTTTTGATATTAATTTGTCTCTAAAAGTTGGTTTTATGTTCGTATTTTTTCTATATTTGTACCACCCTACAATCTCACTAGCGTTGTCAGATAAAAGTCCAGATAAGACATCCTCTTTTATCCTTCCTGTAGGTAAATAAAATAGAGCAACTGAAGGTAATGGTAATACTGTTCGGATTACTATTTGAGTGTCCAGGCGAGCATTATCACTTTGTGAATCTGATATATGGTTAGTTATTACTGAGGTCACATCTCCAATAAGAAACCCCTCCTGAAAATGTTAAAAAGTGTAAATAGGCAATTTTTTTTTAAATAAATTAACATTATTATGTAGATTTACCTGACTATTGACGGAATTCACACATTCGTATAGCAAAAACGACAGCGCGGTTCCACTTAGGGACACCTTCTCAGTGTAAGCCATTACAATAATACATGAATTAATTCATAAACAAATAGATTCTATCAGCAGCAGCATACACAAAATCTAATAAAACGTACGTAAAATGCTAACACACAGTTTGGACAATATAATTCAACAATTTCTTTGCGATTACTTTCATGTTTGCAACAAAATTGACGTTTAGACGATGAATGATGAACCGAACACGAACGAATGAAAGAAATGACAACAAATCATCAATGACAGCGATCGTATTGCATAATAATATTTTTATTGATAAATTCATTACTCACTACTTCAAATAGTTAGCCAATATCCTACGCAAACATCTGCTTCTTTCTTAGCGGGAAAGTTGTTGTTCAGCACTTCAGCAGTAGGTTTAAAATCTGATTAAGGAAGGTTTAAAGTAGTATTTTGTTGTATATTTTCTATTTATGCTTTTAATGTGCATCAATGATGGTAGATTTTATATGACGTGGACATGTAGGCAGATGTTAAAACATGGTTAAAACAATGTAATATCGCTTCATAAATTTTCTCAAGACGTCTGCAGGTGTAAGGTATCAGTAATGTATTATCTCATTAAATCAAGTGCAGGGAAATTAATTATTTAGAAAAAGTTGAAAACTAAAGAGTAGCTGTTTAAATAATGTCTATGCCTTTTTCTTAAGAATAAAAAAAAAAGTCAAGTCAATGACAAATGACAAGCGGTAAAATAGATTGCGATTGTGCAGCTGCAAAAAATATAGTTCCAAAATACTGAACTGTCCTATCGATGACATTGACAGCGGGGCGCCACCGTCAATACCGAATCGCTGGTTCCGATTTTTGCCATGTTGGAAACCATAAAGTTGAACGATGGTAGCGCCCCCCTGTCATTGAGTTTGGCGGGACAGTTCAGCGTGGGTCATCTATATTTGTTTGTGGAAAATAAGTGGAAGGAAAGGTGGTGGCATAAATTCTTTAATAATCCGAACGAAAAAATTCTTATCATTTTAACTGTAGTGTAAATATTTAATTAATTCTGACTAGTGTTATTTTATTCAATACTTTGTTGCAAGTTATTTTGGTCTTCTTGTTGTGAGTTATTTTGATGCAGTGATTAATATTTACCGCAGTGCGTGTGAATTACATAGCAATAATTTAAATTAAGTCCTATGATTGAGAAGACTACTTGTTTTCTGGGCATCAATATCATCTTGACATGTAGATGCGTTATGTAAAATATTTTTTCGTCGCCAATATTTTGCTCTTTTTTACTAATGTCTATTTTTAAG